AGGTTACTTGTCTTGTGAAAGAGCTAATTTTCCCCTTGAATAAGCACTTATCTTTTCAAGAATCCTTGGTCGAGCTATTTAAGTTTTTCATGATCAAATTCTATCTATTTTCGCATCCAAGCATTTGGTTCATTGATTAATGTATAATTCTTTTGTCTAAAGAGTAGAGTTCGAATCTTTTTCCTCAATTATAAAAAAAAAATTCTATCTACTCCTAAAAGGGAAAAACAGAACATTATTATGTATAACTATAAGAGTATCTATAATTTCTTAGTTGTTGCAACTTTTGTAATTCAATGAACTTTCTATAATTTAAGAAGGGAAATTCATCATTATAATCCACTTCTAGACACATACTTCGATAACATTTGTAATAATTTAGATTCAAATTTCATTGATCTCATAACTTTATAGATCTAAATCACTTCACTCTCAAAAACTTGAACTCTTGTTACTATGATTGATTTGAACTTTTTACGTAAATTTTATAAGTTACCTTCATAACTAATTTGAAATGAAATATCATGACAAAATTATTTTATTTTGCTGTTGATATTCTTATATTGTCGGAATGGAGGATAATTTAGAATGGTGAACAAAATATTGTGAATGTTAGTAAAATTGTGCAAAGAGTATTTAATTCAGTCTACGACATGCAAGCTGAGAAGGATAACAGAATTAGGCATGGAGGGTTTTGGTGGTGTAGAACCTCTTAACAAGAAACGATTGGAGAGGGGGCAATGCTGGTTTGAGTCTAGCAATTATGGAGAAAGCAAGGCAACCCCAAAGTATAAACGGTGTAAGAAAAGGTATTTGTATATTATGAAACTTGCATCTTTACAATGTTATACATATCTATATATACAGATTTATGATGATTAGAAAATTAAGGTGAAGATTGGAGAAGCAGATTTCATGGAGGCAAGTCTGAAAATTATAGTGAAGATTTGTGAAGCAGATTTCACGGAGACAAATCCTCGGTAAGCAGATTTAATGGAAGCAAATCCTTGTTTGACAGATTTTGACAGATTTCTTAAAGATTTAAAAAGCCGATTTCGTGGAGTCAAATCCTGGTTTGATAAATTTTGGCAGATTTCATGCTTGAAGACATTGATAACGTGATTTGCATTGATGCCGAAAAATCTAAAAATTAATGTTTTGCTTATACTTATTGACTTTCTTTTTGCTGACTTTTAAAAAAGGCTTGTTTGGTGAGAACTAAAAAATGAGAGGATAAGGGAAAGGAGTGTGCAGATTCAGCCCGACCTAAATCAATTTGGCCAGACAAAGCCTACACCATTTTGTACACATATCGGCCAAACGCATTTGAGGCACATTCCCTTACCCACGTTTATGGTTTATTTAAGTTTTTTTATTATTTTATTTTATATGTAAATTTAATTTAGAAAATTTTTAAATATATATATATATATAGAAATTTAAAAATATACTCATGATAATTAAATTTATAAGTAATTAAAATTTAATATTTAAAATAGTAATTATTTAGAAAAAGAAAGAAATTTTAGGAATATTGCAAGTGGCAATTTTTCTAAATTTTCATAAGTAAAAATAAAGTTGAGGCCTCACCAAAAGTGTTGGAAGGAATCCAAAAAATTATTTTTGAAAACAATTTTTTTATATAATTATACAAAAAATTTACAAACAAAGTAAATATATAATAAATAAAATTATGATAATTGTTTGTATTATATATCTTTCATTTAAATTACGCACGCAAGTGAAAATCTAGCCAATGGTGCAATATCAAGAAAATTGTCAATTCTTACATGAGAAAAATTTTTAAAATTCTACTACAAGTGTTAGACAATTCCGAAAATGTTTCAATATCAAAGACTTTCACTTACTTTCTTTTAGACACAAATATAGCAAATTTTGGATTAAAAAAGAAATAAAAAAATATATAGGATAAAAATAATGTGAAATATTTTAGAAAAACTAGAAATAAGAAGAAGAATAAAAAATTTAATTGGTATGAAATTATACAACAGAAAAAAGTATAAAAAATGAAAGACGCAAAAAAAAAAAATGCGAATAGGCGAAAATATCTGAAGGAGGGAATTTCAAGAAATTTATAAGTGACAATTTTCTTGAAAGTAAGTAAGAAAAATCTACTAATTTTACCAGACATTTTGAAAAAGTGAAGAAAATTTCAAATATCAAAGGTTTTCATTCATTTGATAACAAAAAGAAATATGAGAGAGGGAATTAAAATGTTAAGTCAAAGACAATTTGTTAAGATAAAAATGGATAACACATTATTAATTAGTTTTTTTTAATAGGAGTAGAAATTATAATTTTAATTAAGTAGTCAATCACATTTAAGCAAAAAAATTGATAATGTTTCTCAATTACGTTACTGATCATCTTTTCAATAAATATGTCAATCTTCTATCAAATGAGCAAAAATGGATGTAGAGTTGGGGATAATGGAAGCAATAATAGCTTTTCATTAAAAAATGTTTATTAAATTTTTAATTATACAAAAAAGGTTAGTAATATAATAAGCTTTTTGTTGGTATATTATATATGTTTAATTATTCATTAATTAAATGTTGAGCCTAGATATGGCCAACATACCGAATATTTTGAGAGCTAAGCAATGTTTTGCTGTATTACTCTCATGCTTACCAGTCCCTTTCTTCTCTTTATATTGCTTGAGATCGGCTTCTTTCTTCGAAGCAAGCAAAGTGCTGTTAAATACCGTATTTTATGTAGTGTTCTCATATCTAATCCATCATGGAGTCTAGCTTTCCAAATGCATCTTCTACTTTGCTCGCTGAACTCCCTAAAGAAAAATGGTGGGGTTCTGATCTTTACAACTGGGAAGGATTCTGGTTGGCAAGTTCTCTCCTTTCTCCTGTCATGGCTGCAAGATCAAACTTCCAAGCAAGCGACGATGATGTGTTTCTGACTTCTTCCATGAAGACAGGCACCACATGGCTCAAGGCTATCATCCCAACCATCATGAACCCCAAGGGTCGTACGAATGATGATATTGATGATCCTTTGCTCAAACATCATCCTAATGATCTCATGCCATCTCTGGAGCTGCAGCTTTTCAAGGAAAATCCCAACCCTGATCTCACAACTATGCCTTCTCCAAGACTATTTCGCAGCCATGTCCCTTATCCTTTGTTACCAGAATCTGTTAAGAACTCTGCTTGCAAGATTGTGTACATTACTCGAGACCCAAAGGACACGTTTGTTTCATTGTGGCACTTTATGAACTCTTGGGCTACTGCTATCGGAAAAGGTCCTTGGAAAATGAATGAAGCTTTTGAGAGCTTTTGTAGAGGGGTTCATGCCTACGGACCATTCCATGATCATGTATTGAGTTATTGGAAAGAGAGTTTAAGGAGGCCTGAGAAGATACTTTTTTTGAGATATGAAGACCTGAAGAAGGACCCAGAGGTGCAAGTGAAGAAGCTGGCTTCTTTCCTTGGAAGGCCTTTTGGCAAGGAGGAAGAGGTTGACAAGGTCTTGTGGAGATGCAGCCTGGAAAGGCTCAAAAACCTGGAGGTTAACCAAAATGGAGTTGACCCTTGGCTAGGTATTAACTATAAGTTCTATTTCAGGCGTGGCATTGTTGGGGATTGGGAAAACAACATCACTGAAGAGATGAAA